GGGGGGGGCGCCGGCTCCCGCAGCCTCCCGCAGCCGCCCTGCCCCAAGCCCCCCGAAACTTTGCAGGCGCCGGGGCCGGCGCAGCAGCAGCAGCAGCAGCACTTGTACCTACCCAGAGCCTGAGAGGGACTTTTCCGCTCCCTCCTGGCACTTTAGAGGGAGCTGGGTAAAATCCCCCGCTTCTCCATGCTGACACTCTTCTGCAGGCGCTCTGTTGCTCTTGTAACGAGATCCTGATTTTTTTTCCCCTCTTCTTTTTTTTTTTTTTTTTTTTTTTAATTTTTGCGGCCGGAGAGTGCGTGTGTGTGTGTGCGTGTGTGTGTGTGTGTGTGTGCGCCCGTGTGCGGGAGCGAGCAGGAAGTCAGAGCAGTCAGACAGCGAGCCGGCTCACTTCCTCCCCTGCATTATTCCCCAGGCGGTTTGCCGTCTGTGTAAACAGGCTTTTCCTCCCCTCGCCCCTCGCTCTGGCCACCGATGCGCAGCATGGCTGTAACATAAGACACGCACATCGTACGGCCCGGCGGGCTAGCGGCACCTCCGCCGCCTCGCAGGGAGCTCCGCCGGCTCCCCCGACCTCCACCTCTTCCTGTGCTACACCCCTGGGGAGGAGCTTCCCGACGGCCACCGGCTGCGGGGTGCCCTGGCCGAAACCCACCCGTGGCTGTGGAGGGCTTAGGAGGGGCGCGCAGGCCTCCCCGTGGGATGGCGAGGGGCCTCGGCGAGGCGTTGGCCCTGGGAGAGGCGGGGGGCCTCGTCCCCATCGGACCGGGCGTTGTGGGGTGGCAGTGGAGAGGAGTGCTGGAGCCTCCACTTTGGGAGGGGTTGGCCATGTGGGGTAGCTCGATGGGTGCCTCCTTCCCGAAGGTAGAGCTCCCTGGGTGCTGCTTTCCCAAAGGTAGAGTCCTCAGGTGCTTCCTTCCTGAAGGTAGAGCTCCCTGGGTGCCCCCTTCCCAAAGGGAGAGCTCCCTGGGTGCTACTTTCCCAAAGGTAGAGCTCCCTGGGTGCCCCCTTCCCGAAGGGAGGGGTCACTGGGTGCTGCTTTCCCGAAGGTAGAGTCCTCAGGTGCTTCCTTCCCAAAGGTAGAGCTCGCTGGGTGCTCCCTTCACCGCCGGCCTTCCCGAGCCAGACCTCACATAGATCAGGAAACACTCAAACGGTGCAACGTGGCACGACAAAGGTAAACCAAGATTAAAAGTCAAGGGGCCCTCAAATCGTCAAATTCAAGGTGGAACTTCCAGTTCCACGTCATATCCCAAAGACAAGCCAGAGGTAGTGTGCTGACTGGGATTTTGGTTTTGACCCTCCAGCTGTAGACCGCAATTCTAAACCGTTGGTTTGGATTTATTAAAAGGGACACATTTCCAGTATTTGGAGTTTACATCCTTTATGTCTCTTGTGTATCATATATCTGAATTGTACCATCTATTTCTTACTTTATTTGGAAATCCTCAGCAGCATTATCTTCTGTCTGCCCAGTGCGTCAGTGATGTTCAGTGCGTAATACTTCAAAATCAATGCTGTGCTGCTATTTCATTTAACAGTCACAAGATTTATCACTCCAGCACAATCGGTGTAGTTCAGAATGTGCTTGATGTGCAATGACACAGAAGGTATGGTTATTTTTTATCACTCTATTGGGTTATTGCTTACGATGTTATTGGGAACAAAAGTGTGCTTTGATGGAATTAAAAAGATCGTCACAGTTGGCCACTAGACATTAGTCAATAACATCCAAACAGCTGGCAGTGAGCAAATTGCGAGTCTCTTGTGGAAGTCCATCAGGTCTTCTTCTCATCTTCTAACATCCCATGGGGGAACAAAAATAACAGGCACACCAAATTATGTAACTCTGTTCTTTTCCTCAAATAATTCCCTTTTAGAAGTCATTCTGACTTTTGGAATACAGATGTGAGGTCTGCTAAACCCTCATTTCGTGTTTCTCAAATAAAGAAGCATTAAAAAGTTTCACCTGAGTTAGTATATGTCCTAGATTAAAATGCGCAGTGGATGAAGTCCTTGCCGTAAGTGTTAGTTGAAGTCATTAGGATCCAGGAATCGACCTTTGTTTGGGAGCTACAACTGAAGACCCGGTTTTGCAAAACAAGGCAGCCAGAGAAGCTCTTATGCTGCCAATTAGCAACATTGGACTGACAGCTGGGGGTACCAGCATTCATAGGTTTGTCTTTCATACACACCATACGTTTGTCTTTCATCGATTTTGTGAACAAGAGACAAAGCAGAGATATTCCAGAGATGCCTTGACCAGTTAGAAGTGTGGAGACCTGAGAGAACAAACTCCCAAAACCAGTATAACTTCTTTTCTTTTACAAAAAGTGAATAAAGCTATCTCTTTAAAAATGTTTAAAAAATAAAATGTTTCTTTTATTTACTATACTGTAACTTGGTTGACAGCACCAGATACTTTTTTTTTTTACAGCACCAGTCCTTTTTTTGTCTAGATAGTGAGGTAGCAACCTAAATAAAGGTGCCTAAATGCTGGAAGTTGGATGGCCATTGGATGAAGGCTCTTCATACTACCCTACAGATGCTGGAGAAGAAAGCGTGGAACTTGTTTAATGGAATAAAGCCACCCGGGTATGTTGGAAACACCAGGAATCCAGAAAGCTCTGCTGGAAGTGAAAGAAAATGGGAGTTTTTGGCCAGGGCTAGCTACTGATTCTATCACTATGGATGTCATCAGGAAAATATTTTTGGAAACTACATCTATGTGCTTGATAAAAACACTGTGCTTTACAGAGTGTTTGCTGAAACTCTCTCATCCGTGATATCTGCCTGGCTAAATTAATCTTGACTTGTAGTTATCCTTAAGGATTATCTGATGCAAAAATACAAGATGATGAATGAGGAAATTTGGGGATTACATTGTGTAGGAGCTTTTTTCTTGTGGAAAAGCAATTCCACTCAAAAAACCTGTTTGCGAACGCAGGCATAAAAATGCTAGTTATGTTTTTAGTAGAGTCTCTTGTGGACTTCTGTGTCTCCATTCACATCCTTTCATCAGCGCTTATTATCATTACAACCGCTAATTATAAAGCCTGAATCCTGTCCTCAAGCTGTGAAGATTTTGGGGGTTTAGCTTTGGAAGTTCCTTGCTCAGAGTTGGTCCAGACAACAGCTGTCGCACTCGTAAAGGACTAAGAGTAACTAGAGACAGCTCCCCTTCGACCAGTAAGGCAGGTTACCCCCGCCGAAAGTCCTAATCTAATGGGTTCAGGCGATCCTTGAGCAAACATATGCACCCGGGATGTCTCTGTCTCCTGTTTATCTAGGGAGAGCGCAGTTTGTAAAAGAGCTCATATTTATAAACCTGTCCCTCTGTTGAAAAAATTGCCCCAAAGCATTCCTAAGTATAGTGGCTATAATTCTGCCTCATTTTTATTAGATTACATCAATTAAGAAACCAGGCTTTGTCTGTCCTTTCAGATTGTTTCTACTGTATTTTTAAACTGTTCATAAATCTCATGTGCTTCTGTAATTAACCAATCTAAAAGAAGGAAACAAAACAAAACAAAAAAAAAAGGTAGATTTGCTGTGCTCCAGATCTCTGTTTAAGCTCTTCAGGCTGAGGCTCCTGTCTGTGTTAGTCCAAGTTTTAGTGTAATTTCACTCTGAGCCTTGAGCCCCACTGTAATTAAATTATTACATTAAATTAAATAATTGTAATGTCGCTTTGCGGTACGCAATTTTCCTTAAATGTACATAGATGCTTATAATCATATGTAATTATCAAGAACAAAGTTGAAAGCAGTTGGAAATAATTGTAGTTTCATTTAATATTTTAATTGCGAATGTATTTAATGAATGCATACATTGTTTCACCCTCTCTAAACATTTTGTGTTTCTTTCTTGATTATAGGCTCTGTAGTGAAGAGGCTTCAAATTTGTGTCTGCCTTTGTGACGACTAACACAATAGGTTCTGTGGGAGAATCACTCGTAACCATTCTCTCTCATTTCTTAGTAATTCTAGCTTGAATAACCACCTGACAGGTTACAGGGGGATTTCCAGGGGATTTTGGAAAGTGGGTATATAGAAATTAATTACCTGAGTTTGGAATGACAGCCTAACTCATGAAGGATTCTTGGTTGCCCTTCACAACATACTATTTAAATGCCTTGTAAGCGTTGCATCAATATTGATGAATGTTCCTCTTGCAGGTTTGGCTTTTCTCTTTCACACTTTCCTGTAGCTGGACAAACATGGGCTTCGGAGCCAACAACTTCATTATTGCAAAAAGTCCCGGGGGATCCATACCACTCACAAAGTGGTCAGGTCCTCAGTTTTATCTCATCTCGCAGGCAGCTTCACTGGCAGGAAAAGTGCTGTCTGCAATACTGTCCAGTGCTACCTCCAGGGTGTAACGCTGACTCTAAACCCATGGAAACTCAAGTGATTGGACAACACATTGTTCCTCAGCAAGCATTATTCCTTCCTGGGCTTTTTGCTGAGCTATCTAGAATGAAATCGTGAGCTTTAGAAAAGGTTTCAGATGGCAGACATCAACAGAACTGTGTGTGCTGCCGAGAAAACTCTTGTTCAAAGTTGGATCAGGTTAGTGTGAAAAACAATTGCATGTCATTATCAGAAGGTCCGAATCCTCATGCCACATTTTCTGGAACAAAGAAATTCTACAAGTTTTAACCTAAAATGTTTCCTGTCAGAGGCAGGAGAAGGGCTAAGTGCTTCTTCCTACCATGAAACACTTATACTGTGCAGATGGTAGGACTTCAGCAAAGAAGCGGGAGCCTCTTCCCTTCTTCCAGGGACTTCTTTTTCCCTCAGGGAGAATGTTTCAGTCCCTCGTGACAGAGGCTGTGAATGAGAATTACTGCTGGGTTGTAGTCAGAAATCTGCCTTCAGTCTTAAGGGACTGATATTTTGGAGACCCTGAGGTTTTCCCCTTCTCCCCTACCCACCCACAGAAGGCTGTGGTGCTTGATCAGAAAGGGGGAAATTTGGGGAAAATTACTGCTTTTGCACTCTTCTTCCTCTGGCACTTTTTTACTTTCCTAAATGTTTTGCTTTTCCTGGATGTTGTGGCAGATAGCACATGACCCAACACATTTCGATTAAAAGCATCACTTGCGTGTACGATTTCATTAGGTTTGCCTTCTTAGTGAAAGATTTATAAGGAATTACCTCCTGTGTGCAGTGTAATTGCCTACGTTTTTTTTGTCATTTCAGGAATGTCGTGTTGCTGTGTGTATTGAAAGAGCCTATAGCACCTAAATGAGCAACCCAGGAAAACAGGGAAAGAGGATTCCAAGAATCTTTGAATAACCATGAGGTCTAATCTAACTCCAAAGATTAACTATTTCAGAGGTCACAGTGCTGCTTAAATCTTTCAATCTGTTCTACTGCAATTTCTTTGCCAGGCTAATTAATTAAAGGTCTGAGCTAGAACTTTAGTTGCATTTTATCGGTCTCTTTCCCCGTTTTTTTCCCCCCCTGTCTCCCATCTGTCTTATTCTAACCTAATCTCGAAATATAACCTAACCAAGGTAGTTCTGCTGCCAAATATCACCGTAGCATCTGAATATAATTA